GGATTGAGAAAATGAGAAGGTCTCCTGATAATAATTATGTTGTTGTTCTTTGAACTTCTTGTGTAGCCATTTATAAATTGCAAGTAGGGAAGCGAATATTCCCCCCCATCGTGAAGATTTGGTGCAGATTTTGCACTAAATTTATTTGGAAGCTTTTGTCTGGGAGGTGAGCTACAAAATTTCAAGGTTTGGTTTTGTATGCAGCCACCCCTAACTATACCTACAAACTAAACAAGCATGCATGCATCATCACAGCCGGCTTTCCAGAGCTCATTGAATTCGTTTGATACATAACAGAATCGTATAAGATCAAATTTTTGGGTCTTTACTCTTTACACAATGTGAAGGCTAAGATCCAGGATAAGGAAAAGCTCTTCAAAGCATCAGAGGCCGAATTGAAAAGCTCCTGGGCCCAACCTACACTTGGGCTGGGCTAATTAACAACTCTGCGTTTCAGTCGACGAAGACGCTTGACCAAAGAAATGAGAGAAGGCGACAGATCCAAAAGACCAAAACCAAGGCAGAGAAGAGAAGAGAAGAGAGGAGAGGAGAACCGCCCTCCCCTAACCCTTCCCTTACCACCGCGGAGACGGAATTGCATATGTCTCGCTCGACCGACCCTCTTCTTCTTGGTCATCTATTCCGAGTCCGAGTTGGAGTCTGAATCTCTGATTCTATAAATACGGCTACAAGTTGCTAGCCAGCCTTCCATTCCATCCTATCAGCCAAAAGAGCCATTCTCCAGCAGCTAGAGCGACATGGGTGCTGCTGATCCGGAATTGGAGCAGCAGGGAAGGCTTGGGGAATCGACGCCGTTGCTCATGTTGCCGCATTGCAGCAGCACGAGAATGATTAGTGGTAATTGCGAGAGTGGTAGTGATAGGTATTGTTGCTTTTACGATGTAGCAAACCGCCGATTTCACCACATCGACGGCGGCGGCGGTGGCGGCGGCAACCCTAGTGTTGTTGTATGCCGGGGGTCTGCGTTTGGATGGTTGTTCATGGTCCACCAAATCCCTTGCATCTTCCTACTCAACCCTCTCACCGGATCTCAAATCCCCCTGCCGCCCATCACGTCTTTCCCCGATGTGTTGGACTACAACCCCCAAAGGCGAAACTTTGAGTTCGTTCACCGATTGGATGGTGACCAGAGGCTCGCTGTCCAGGGCAGGACCTTCTTCCAAGAGCACTTCTTCTGGAAGACTGCTTTCTCCGCGGAGCCCACTGCAGAGGATTGCGTTGTGATGGCCATTCGGTTCAATAACAACTATCGCCTGGCTTTCTGCAGGCCCGGGGGCGACGAATGGAGCTTGGTTCCTAATCCAGAAGAAGAAGAGAAGATCCCGTTCATGGATATCGTGTTCTGGAAGGGTAAATTTTATGCAGTCGACTGCTGCGGCAGGGTTGTGGTGGCTGATCTTTCCCTCCCGCACCGCCCCAAGCTCTCATTCCATCTTAACTTGGCCCCTAGGGATTTCGTCAACTCCGAACATCCATACTTGATCCCGAGCCCAGATGGAGGTGGTGATCGACTGATGATGGTGACTAGATACATGGAATTAGTAGCTGCTGCGCCAAGAGGTTACCGGACGGTGAAGTTCAAGGTTTACAAGCTGGATGATGAGGATAGGAAGGGATGGGATGAGGTTGCAAGCATCGGGGATTTCGCCATTTTCGTTGGGTTCAACTCTGCCTTCTCCGTTTCCACCAGAGACCATTCGGGACTGATTCCAAATTCCATTTATTTCACTGATGACTTTATCGACTGGCACCAAAGGCACAAGCTAGGAGGTCATGATATGGGCGTTTACAGCCTCAACACTCGTGCCGTGAAGCCCTTGTATTCTACCTCCTCTCTGCATGCTGACCCTTTGCTCATTTCGCCATTGCCTGTCTGGATCCTCCCATCCAACTAGTTAGTTACACTTTTTCAGTTAAGAAGACTGAACATTCTGTGTGAGCTCAGATCTTTGGCTAACCTTGAAGCTAGATAATAAGCAAAACATCACACTCCCAATTCTACAGCTAACACTACACACACCAACACCATTATGGATTTCACCTTCCCATCGCAGCCCCAGCGCTACGATGTGGAGGGCAGAGGAGAAAACGGAACTGCGAAAATGGGCCCGACTTCTGCAGAAAGGCCCAACCCAGAGTACAATTAGTAAGCATTAATCAAGCTTATCTTTGTTTGTGGAAAGAAAGATGTTTCCTCCAATGACCTAACTGAGTGGCCACGAAAGGTATTAGATTCGGGCATTCGGCTCCTTTGTGACAAAGACAAGACAAGAAGCTCTGTACATGAGGTACGACAATTTGATCCCACATCATCTAGTGAACAACTAGATTGATATATGCTTCTGCGTGTTGACTTTACCGGATCATATGAAACTCAATCATATTTTTTTACTATTTCAATTGTTGGATATATATATATGATGGTATTTTAATAAATAATAATGTAAACATATGCTTTTAGTAACTAAAATATTTCATACTTTACAATCTGTCATTCTCAAACTATACTAACACGCTTATCCTTTGACATGCTAGACAAGCTCGTCCAGTGTCTCTAAAGAATATAAACTGCAGTTATTACACAAAACCTAATTAATGGATAATGAACCTATGAGTATGGTTATGGATTCATAGCATACTGTTGTACCTACCATCTTTTAAGTGCACCTAAGAGGTCATGTGTTTAATTGAATATGTGGAAGACTAAATCCATCCATAACTTAGTACAAAATATATGGGGTTAATTGCAAGGTTGGTCACTGAGATTACTAAAAACATTCATGTTTAGTCACTAAAAATATTTAATTCCATTCGTGGTCACTAAAATTAGTAAAACATTTCAAGTTCGGTCACTGTCTGTCCAACTCCGTTAACTTTAGCTGATGTGGCAGTCAACTCTCAAAGTTGACCGTTAAATGTGTGACGTGGCACTTAAAAAAATAAAAAATAATATTTAATATTTTAAATATTCCACCTAATTATTACTATCACTAAAAAAATAAAAATAATCCCACCAAAAAAAAATAAAAACCTAATTCTTCTACTACCTCCCCGACTCCACCCGCCGCCATCACAGTTGAAGGTCCGACTGGTCACCAGGAAGCGAATCATCATCGCCACCATCTACCAAATCATCATCTCTAATCCTTTGACCTTCTCACTGATCACACAATTAAACGCCGTCACAGGAAGCGAACTCGGATTAAACTCCTCCACCCTAACCTCCTTCCGAACCGTCTCCAGCTCCGGCCAAAACTGATCCGTCGATCCCAAGCCCAAATCCACCACCTTCTTCCCCTTCTTTTCATCCTCACTCTTCCCCAGCAACTCCCCGCGCGTCAATATCACCTGTCCCATCAGGAGCTTATTCCTCGGAAGCTTCGCCACCAGCGACTGTTTCGATCACGACGCCGCCCTATTCCTCTGGCTCCCCAAGGGACTCCTCTTCGGCTTGCGAGATTCAGCCCTAGGGTTAGGGTTCTCTGTTTTCCCCCTTCTTTGTTGGCTCTACTTGTGAAATGGTTTCTGTCCTCTATGCTTTTTTCACAGAGGGAGGAGAAAGGTCCGACCTTGTTCGAATCTGCTGTGGTTAACAAGGTGGATGAGTTGTCGTTAGATTTGCTGGTGGAGATCCTGGTTCGGCTCCCCGCTAGAGATCTGTTACAGCTCAAGTCCGTCTGTAGAAGTTGGAATGACACAATTTCAACGGCGTATTTCTGATGGCGAATGGCAAGTCCGAAGTGCGCCTATGGAACCCAGCAAGCGACAAATCTAGGGAAATCACGATGCCACCGGTCAGGAAAAGCACTGCCGGAGCACACTATTTCGACAGCTACGGGTTCGGGCTAGATCCAGTGGCTAAGGATTTTTATTTTTTAATTTTTGGTGAGATTTTTTTAGTGATGACAATAGTTAGGTGGAATATTTAAAATATAAAATTTTAATCTTTTAGTATTTTTAAGTGCCACGTCACACATTTAACGGTCAACTTTGAGAGTTGACTGCCACATCAGCCAAAGTTAACGGAGTTGGACGGAGAGTGACCGAACCTGAAATGTTTTACTAATTTTAGTGACCACGAATGGAATTAAATATTTTTAGTGACTAAACATGAACGTTTTTTAGTAATCTTAGTGAGCAACCTTGCAATTAACCGAAATATATGTACTTTTAGTGGAGTAGGTAGATGAACATATTAGTGAAAAATGTAATGTACAAAACATAATTTTGCTATATTTCACAAGTGTTCATGATTTAACCTCATACATATTCTTCAATTGTATGTTTCGAATTGAAGTTGATACATGCTCATTATATTTTGCACCTAAATTAAATAATAACGATAAAGTGGTTAATATATCTATCTATTACTTATAATGAGACGAGATTATCTTGCTTTTAGTAATTTTTTTAACATACTGTATATAGAATTAGGCTTTCATTGGCGTTAGAGAATTTTAATATGATTTGAGATGTAATGTTAACTCTAAGAGAACGATCTTCAATATCTCTAACGAGAAATGGGTGTTAGAATCGTAACCGGACTGATCAATACATAGTCCAGGACTGTCGGAAGCGACCTACTGGTCCCAATTCTCGATCGTCGTTCATGGTAACTAAAAAAAAGCCCCTTGAGGGTCTTTCTTTGCTCAATTTTGCTTCTGAGATGGTACCAGACATCCCTGGTCTTATCCATCTTTAGTCAATGGCGGGTGACGTGGGTTCATCAATGGAGTGGCAGGCAGGCCACCGTAGGTGAATACAACTAACTTAGCTTACACCAGATCCCAAACCCCGGCCGCCACCACCACTGGCCAGAAGCCACCACCGCTAATACCGACATGAAAGGTCGGTAGATAATGCACCGGATCTCTTTATAAAGAGAGAAAATACAAGCCGTCTTTTTCTCTTCCCCCGCCACTCTGTCTACTTTCCCTTTTCCTTTTAATCTTCTCTGAAACCAAACAACCCGTGGAGCTTTCTTCCCATCCCTCTGGGGGAAAGAAGAGAAGGAAATTTGCTTTTTTTTTTTTGGTAGAAGAGAAGGAAATTTGCTATTAATTCATACCCCATAAATAATTAATATTTCCTTTATAGTAAACCGGATTACGGGGGGAATAATTAATGAGGAGGAGGAAAACCAAACGGCAGCTCCGGCAGCAGTTCCTTCCCGTCTAATAATCTTCTTCTTCTTCTGTCTCTGTTTTTCCCCCTTCCTTCCCGCCCTTCCCTCCGGTTCCGGCAGATGCGCAGGCGGCTGCTCGCCGCCCCGCCGCTGCCATGAAGAAGGATCACCGGCGGAATCGCGACGACGTCGTATGGAGCAGGTTCTTCTGGTGCACGATCTTCATCGTCATCTCTTGCGTCCTCTTCACCGGATTCAATTTCTCCTCCTTCCGATTCCTCTTCTTCCCTCCTCCTGGTAAGTGAAAAAGATTCGAACTTTCCCTTATTCGAATTGAAATGATTAATGATCCCTTTTCATTTCCTCTTTCGAATTCGGTTGATTGGTTATTGTATTGATGTTTTCTCGCCGCCAGCAGAGAGGCTGCAGCCGGAGATAGTACCGCGATGGCGGATGGACGCCGTGGCTACCGCCGGCGGCCACGGACACGACTCTCCCCGGAAGTTGGACGGGAAGGAGAAGAAGGTGTGGATTCGGGAGACGGTTATCCTTCCTGACCAGGTTCTGCTCTTCCTAAACTACCCTCCCTCCTCCGCCGCCACGTCACCACGTTTATTGACTCGCGACGATCTCGATTGCGTCTACAACTTCTCCTCCTCCCCGACGGCGAGGCAAAAGAACGCCTCACGGCCGCCCAACCGAGTCGACGGCGAGATCGTTCGGTGCCCCCTGCTCGACCGCTCCGCCGCCGTTTCCCTCTCGGTGAAATCGGCCGACACATACGCCGGCGGAGAAGTTCTTCTAAACGCGCGCCCAGCTCGCGCGTGGCATTCCCTGGCGTACGAGGCGCTGATCGACCGCGACAACACCACGGTGGTCTTCGTGAAGGGGCTCAATCTACGGCCGGATAAGCTCTACAACGTGTCGCGATTCGAGTGCGTGTACGGCTGGGATTTCACCAGGCCCAAGTTCATCCTGCGGTCAGAAGTCATCTCGATCGCTCAAGAGATCGCACGGTGCAGAACGCCCCTCAGCCTCCTGACCAATCCCTTCAATAGCTCAATCAAAGTCACCGTCCGGGTCAAAGGCAGGGTAACCCTCCAGTCCGTCGCCCAGCCCCGACCCAACCCTGAACCAGAACCCGGGCCAAAACCGCACCAATTGTGCATCTGCACGATGCTCCGGAATCAAGCCAAGTTCATCAGAGAATGGGTGATGTATCACGACGAGATCGGCATATCTCGATGGTTCATCTACGACAACAACAGTGAAGACGAGATCGAATCAGCAATCACATTGTTGACCGGTTCCGGTTACAACATTTCCCGTCATGTCTGGCCGTGGGTGAAGACTCAAGAAGCCGGGTTCGCCCACTGCGCGATACGAGCTCGCCCTTCCTGCGAGTGGGTTGGGTTCATCGACGTGGACGAGTTCCTCCACCTCCCATCGGGCCAATCGCTGCCTGAATTCCTCACCAACCTAACCGAAGGAACGGGCGGACTCCTACTCCCTTTCCAGGTCGGGGAAGTTCGGGTGGCCTGTCACAGCTTTGGTCCATCCGGTCTAACCCAACCCCCAACCAAGGGCGTGATCGCGGGCTACACCTGCCGTTTATTCGCGCCCGAGAGGCACAAGAGCATAGTGAGGCCCGAGGCATTGAACTCGTCGCTGGTGAATGTCATCCACCATTTCCATCTCCGGGAAGGGTTCGGATTCGTGGACGCGGATCGAGTCACGATGGTGATCAACCACTACAAGTATCAGGTTTGGGAAGTGTTCAAGGAGAAGTTCTACAGGCGGGTGGCGACGTACGTGGCGGATTGGCAGGACGAGCTGAACGTCGGGTCGAAGGATCGGACACCCGGGTTGGGGACCAGAGCGGTCGAGCCGGATGATTGGTCGAGCCGGTTCTGCGAGGTGAATGATACCGGGCTGAGGGATGAGGTGGTCAGTCGATTTTCGGACCCGTTGACGGGTACTCTGCCGTGGGAGGATGAAGCTGAGACTATGCGGCAAGGGTTGTGAAGAGGGATGGCGAGTTTTGGTGATTGTTTTTAGCTTTGTTTGGTTCTTTCTATTTGTAGATATAGAAGGGTGCATACTGCATATACATGTAATAACCAGAGGGACAGAGGGAAATCAGGTGATTTGGCTCGTGTACAGAGGGTTAATTTAGAACAGAGGTATTTGATTATGATCCTGAATTAGTGGTGGTTTTTGGTTGAACCAATTTTCAGGAATGCAGAATCGACAATTAAATTTTACCCCGGATTGAATTGGTTAATTTTATTGAGTTTTGATTACTACATTCAAGATTTATTCTACGTCTGATTTCATTGGTCTATTGTTGATCGGGTTCTGATCAAAATTCTAGATGCTCTAGTGTCGATTGGATTACACTGCAGGTGTGACAAAGGAAAGATGGACGGTACGAGATTGTGAGGGTGCACCCAATGCCACTGTTCTCAGAAGTACCTGATTCTTAGCGGTACACGACAAGGAGTACAGGACACGATAAGGCTTTCTAACTTCGAAATAAAATTCGACCGTTGCGTTTCACTTCTCAGAAACCCTCGTCGGCTCTGCGTCTGCGATCTCAAGCGAAACTATTCGACTTTCTCTACGTTCCTTCACTCTCTCTTTGCTTTTCTTTCCATCTCCACTGTTGGGACACGAGCGGGGATCGAGATCGGGAAATGGCGGGGACTGACCCGATTCAGAAGGAACCGAACCCAGTCGGGACGGTTACCGCCGGTCAGAGCTTGGACTCTCTGTTCAGCCCTAGGTTCAAGTCAGCGGCAGCCTTGGCTGGGTGGGACGAAGAGTCCATTCTACTCGCCAGCCTTATTGTTGAAGACACGCCCGATCGGGATTTCAAGCAGAGGAAAAGATCCGACCCCCTTTTCAAGACTCCGCCTTCCAACAGTTCCAGGAGGTATATAGAGAAACAAATTCATAAAGATTCTCTCCTTTTTATCGTTTTTGAATGAAATTGAGAGCCAATTTGATTTGGGTTTGGTGTGACTGATGTATTTCAGGAAGCGTAGGGTTCAGAGGAGGAGTCCGATGCCTGCGACTGTTCTTAATCTTGATGAAGAAGAACCCTCGAAAAAAGAAGGTAACTTTGATTATTTTCTTTGCTTATTGTGTGAACTATTGGAAATGGGGGAAGTTGAGTTCTTATGGTTGTTTTTTCGTTGTTGGTCTGGAATCAATGGCAGTGAATGATAACAAGAAGAGTGAGTCCCAAGTTGCGGTGAAGGAAGAAGAAAAGAAGAAATCTGAGAAGAAGGATGAAGAAGAGAATAAAGAAACTTCAGAGGCTTCATGCTCTAATGCTGTTTTTCCTTGCTTGGATAAGCTTCGAGATGAACTTTCCTGTGCAGTAAGATGCACAACAGATATTGTATTAATGTTGTCTGCTTGAAATTAAGACTTGGAAGGCTATGTGCTAAAGTTGTTGTTTGGTATTTGGCAGATTTGCTTAGAGATTTGCTATGAACCTAGTACCACATCTTGTGGACACAGGTAAAACTCCCAACTTCAACTTCTTCTGCTTTGTTGTTAAGGATCGCATCATTTTGTGCACAGTCTAAGAGTGGGGTGTTCTTTGTTCTGATCTGATGTTCTAGTTTCTGTAAGAAGTGTTTGAGATCTGCTGCTGATAAATGTGGGAAGAAATGTCCCAAGTGTAGACAGCTAATAAGGTGAACAACAAGCTTCTTACTGCTATTTACTTTGACTGTTCTTACATGACTTCCAATCTTGAACAATTTTCTTTTTCTGTGTTGGGTGGAAATGGAAATTGCAGCAATGGGAGATCTTGCACAGTGAACACAGTTCTATGGAACACAATCCAGCTTCTATTCCCACAAGATGTGGAAGCAAGGAAGGCAGCTGGGGCATTGAACAGCCGAGAAGCCACTGATCGCGAAATCCCTCAAGAAAGACCAGTTGTCAACAATGAGACGAGAAGGCCTAGTAGAGGTGTCAATCCTAGCAGACAAGGAAGGCCATTGGGTCATAACCAGATTCAGAATTCTGGAACCTCTCAAAGATTGCAAAGAGGAGAGTTCATGTGGTTATCAAGCCGGGATGTTGATGATGATGGAGTTGGGAGGCGGGGAAGAAGGGCAGGACAGAATGAAGAAGAGGAATCAGCGCTGGCTAGAAGGGTTGAAAGAGGAGAAGAGCTTGCAAGGTTGTTGAGAAGAGAGGCAGAAAGTAGAGGGAGAAGAACAATAACAAGAGGAGCTACTGCTGTTGTGCCAAGCCAAGATGGAGATGCTGCTTTAGCATTAAGGCTTCAGAGGCAAGAGCTCATGGAGGCATTTAGGGAACCTGATGAAGGAAGACAAGGAGGAAGAAGTGGTCTGCAATCTGCTAGAGCAAACTTGAGAGCAATGGCGTCTAGAGCTGTCAGCGTTCGATCCAGGGGAGGGCAGTACCTGTAAAAGACTTGTAAGTGGAAGGTAGAATAGAGTTTTTCCTTAGGAGGGACATAATGGTTTGTTTGAAGAGTATCTTTCTCATGATTTTTCTTTTATTTTACAAAACCTGTTATCTTTATCATGATTTCTAACGAGATTGAACTTTGTACCACATACTTCGATTGAATGTGGGGTATGTAGCCTGATCAAGCAGGATTTATGTTTGTAACTCCAAACATTTGTTTGTTAATTTGATAAACATGGAAGGCATGATGCCGTGTGAGTCCATGCAAAGAATGATTGAACTAGTCCCAATTCTTTTTCGATCTTGAATTGAGTTTATCTGACAAAAGTATATAAGATACACATTAAACGGTTTCTTTCAACCGCTCGAACTACAATGACAATTTGCTCTTTGGGGAAAGGTCATGTGTCCGAACCTCCATTACATCTAAAGTTAACACTTGATTAGCATATATACGATAGGTGTTCCGTGAAAGTCCGATTCCACGAAGTTAACTTCTATTTTGGGATCTCTCCCAAAATGAACTTATTCAGAACATTTTCAAACTGCTTTCAATTTCAAAGGATAAGCAATCCTTATAGGGAATTAACGGGCATGGTTAACTTCATCTCTTATTACAGAACGGAGTGAAATTGACACTTGACAACATAAATTAAATCGTGCAACAAAATAGTAATCAATCCTGTTACTCAGTGCATATAAATATCACAGGGCCGGCTGACATTTTCAGCTCCAATATATATAGAACCAAAATTGCAATGAAAAGTTCATGGGATAATTAATTAATATATAAAAGCCTTGGATGTGTCCACTGTTCATTAGTGGCCCCCAAACGCTGGGCTGCGACTGGGCTTTTGCCGTTTGTTTCCTCCTAATTCGGCCACGTTCAGCTTTTCCCTCCTCACAGCAACCCTTCGCCCACCTAATTACCCCACTCGCCGAAAAGGAACCCTGTACTTTCCTATTACCCACTGGTTAATCGTCTTCCTCTCCCTTCTCGCTTCTCTTCTTCTTTTCTGACACACAAACCTCTATTGGACTCTCCCTTTTGTCCTGTCTTCTCACCCTTCCTGCTCCTCCCTTCTTCACGCCACCCACAACACTGAGACACTCTCTTGATAGGGAAACGAACCGCGGGATGGCTGTGACTTCTTGGTTTCGTCCACTCCTTTTCACCCACCAAAGCTTCTCACCCACTGGTTTTGCTGTGCTGGCGGGCAATTCTCGACAGCACATCATCTTCCCCGCCCTTTTCCCTCGCCGTCGTCCTTCTCCGTAAGGGAAACCCTCCGCTGCTGCTGCACCCGTTCAAGAAATACTGGTACGATTGTCCCTGCAATTCTCATATCCTTTTTATTTTTCTTTGCACCTAATCCTCTCTTCCACCCTTGAATCTCAGGTTTGGCCTACTTTTTTTTGGAGGAATCCCCGGCTTTAATCTCTCCCTCTCTCCCGCTGTTGAAGAATAATAAGAAGAGGGGAATCATTGGAAAAGAGGAAGAAGATGAGAGGCATTTTTTTCATTCTGTTCTGGCGCGATGGGTTACGCGGCAATGATGCGCTCCCTGAGCGAGGGTGATCGGTTGGTGGTATTACGGAGAAGGATGACACAACACAGAGTGGCAGAGAGAGAAGAGATATCCCAACCCAAGAAGATCTCCCAGCATACATGAGGTGACCAGCCAAGTGAAAAGGAGTTATTCTTACACTCATGATCATGCTGTATCCTGTACCTACGACAGTAGAAGAAGAACAAATCCTTTGAATCGCATTCCAGTGTCATATTCGGCCATAGGGGGTGAGCTTTCTCCTTTCCTCTCTTAATCTTACTTTTATTTTTTCTTTACTTAATTTGCCGCTTTCAACTGGATATTCTTCCTCTCTGTTGCTAATTATCCACGGTCGGCGTTGGGAATTTTGCTCGCAGGCTTTTCAGCAGCAGATAGCTTTTGTCCATCCTCTGCGGTTTCAGTTCTCTCTCATTTTTGGGTTCATAGATTTTCGACCTTGAAATATTGGAGAAGCCATGATGATGGATCAATTCAATTTGGGTTTTTGGCTTCTGAGTTCGTATAGGACCTGAGGAAAGGTGTCTAATTTCCTGACTGATAATTTGTAAACTGATCTTGGATCTCACAGAAATTGACTGCCCGATTCAGCTCAAGCTTCACTTGCTGCACATCTGGGCCTTGCAGGCTCCCTCGCATCCTCACAAGACCTTCTGCTATTGCATCTCCGATGCGACAAAATGGTTAGTGCTCCCAGTGGTTGTACAGAACTAGAAATCAAGCAGTATGTGTTCATGTGGTTTTTAATGGGAATGGATCACAGGGTCTTCATTTATGGGTATTGAGCTCACTCCAATACTACCACGCAAGAAACAATAGTGTTTTGTTAAATAAAAATGTTGTTTTCTCATCATTGAGTAGTTGAATGGTGTGTTAGTTGTGTTGCCTCTTCAAAAGACAGTGTCACTCTGCACATTAGCAAGAAACATGGGACAAAGCTGCGTGGAGATTACCCTCGGCTTTAAATAGAGGAATTTGGAGTCTGAATCCATTGTTTGGGTGTCGACTCTATCACCAAATATGTGGCAGCAACAACAAATATGATTTTGCTGCAGATATCTGATTCATTCTCCTCTCTTTTGTTTATTTATGTTTGCTGTCATAGTTGGCGAGGTGGTTGTTGAGAGATAAAAAGTAAGTTTGGGACCTTGGTGGTTGTTGTTAGTTCTCTCCATACTGAGCTATGTTTGGTTCATTCATCTTAAAAGAACTTGAATTTTTGCAGGTCAAAGATTCATGCCATTTGTAACCAACATCAAGAACTTCCCATCATTAGCTTCGGAGAAAGGTTGATGTTGATTTAGCAATAGAGAATTTGGCATCGAAGTAACCCAAATAGCCTGATGAAACCTTGAATCGATTGTTATGTTTTCAGGTTAAGTGCACCACTTGAGCTCAAAGTTCCCTTTGTGTCGATGCAACTATTTTGTTATGAACACAACTGATGCACTTTGTGGTCTCCTACCTGTACCATTTGTTATCAAATTTCCGAAGTAGGCGTGGTTTTTAAAGAAAGCTGGCCTCTGTTATGTATGTGCGTTTATTTTTATTCCAATTTTATGCTCTGCATCTTCAGTCAGTCCCAAACTAATGAACAATACTCCAATCTCAGATATTGCATCCCTTTCTCGGGTCTAGGCGAAATCCGAGATTCAGAATCCCGATCCCTTGCTTCCAGTCCCTCTCAATCCCAGGTAACTGACTTTATAAGTTCAATTCATTACTACCTGTTCAGTTTTGTCTATTGATATGGCTTGGGGTTGTTCCTCGAATTTGTTGTTTGGTTTGTCGTCGAAGACTTCAGGTAAGATATTGTTACTTTGATTCTTTCCCTTAATTTGTGTACTTCCGTCTTTGATCATGGACCATATATTCTCTTGGTTTTTCATTATAGCCACATGGACTGCAATCCATCCAGAGTTCTTTCGAGGAATCAACTTTCCGGTTCATCAACTTCTGCTCTTATATTCATGCGCTTGAGTCTTGCTTTTTCGGTTACACTGACTTTTATGTTTTAAGTTGGGTCATCTTAAGGTATCCTGACATCTTCTGTTTAGATATTCTCCCATTTTCCTTTGTTTAAACTCATGTTTATTGTTTTTCAAACTCATTGTTACAGTAAGAATCCATTGGCCTGGACGTAGATGTAGTGTTTTATTAATTTCCCTACTTCTAGCGAGTGTACTTTATCTACTGCTCTGTTCTTTTGGGGGTTTTCACATGTTCTGCTCCTGCCTTTAGCTTTGTGGGTCTGTTGGTGTTATGTTCAACATTGTTGGGGAAGCATTTATTGGTTTTACTTAGTTTGATTCTGTTGGCTTGGGAGGTAGTGATAGCGATGAACTGTAACTGATTAATACTAGGGAGAGAACTATTCATAGCGACTGATCCCAAATGAAGAGTTCTCTTGACAGGGGTTAGACATTAGCTTACTGGCTACTTTGGTTTGCTCTGCATAAAGTAAAACCTAATCCCATTCTAAGCCATTTGCGAAACTTGAACAGCTTGCACTTAAGGTTACCTTGGGTGCTTAAAACTCCAACTGATTTATTTTACTTATATTGTCACTGCATTTGGTTTTGTGTTGCAGGGTACCTGATTCGGTTATTCGTCCCTAAGGGATGAACACTGGAGGTGACAGCCAGGGAATTGTCGAGAGAGCCTTGCTGTTCAGGTGAAACATTCCCAAGAAAATGACAGAAAAATAGAGGTTGCAACTTTACTGATCTTTTCATGTGAAGTTTGTTTCCCTTTGTCTATACATTGCTTATTAATCATCAGCTAAAGTACGTTGGATTTTTCCGTGCAAGTAGTCCCATGAACATCTGAAAGGAAAGAGTGAAGCCATAACCTCTGTTTCATTGCTACAGGCTGAAAGAAATCTTTGTGCCAGGCCTTACATGTATGAATCAATATTTTATGTGCCTCTAGAGATTGCAGATTCTTAGTGTAAGTTGTTAGCCCCATTTTAGGGTAAATCTCCTTTTTAAACTCCTCCCCTCTTCCCATTATAGCAGACAATCTTTGACACTATTTTTTTTGGCTTTATTCATCATATTGCTTTATGTTTTAGCTTTGTTCTTTGCGCCTGGATGCTGAATATAAGATGTAGTTACCAGTACCCTTTGCTTTTGTTCCCGTGAATAGGTATAGGGTGGATCTCCTTCCACTCAAGCTTGGTTACTGGCTTCTTATTAGAAATCATGCATCCAACTTCCATTAGAATGTTTTTACATTACCTGTTTACCCTGTGAAACAAAGTGTAGAGCCTTGAATTCAAGGATTCTGTGCAATGCAGTCAGTTTGCTCAAGTTTTCCTTTTAGTGTGGTTGTGCTGGTCTTTACTAAGTTCAGTGAACCAAATCCGCTTTCTTTAACTTAAACCCTATATGATAGCTATTGTTTTATGAGATTGTCATACATGGGTGATGGCGAGGACATAGCTCTCCGAATTGAGGAAAGAACATGCCCCTTTCACGGCTACCTTTTTATCTCATTCATTGTCACATACAGTCATATATCTTGCCTTATTAATTACCATGTATACAGTTGTTTCCTTCTTCATCGTGCCTTTATAGTTTATTCTCAATTTCAGAGGGTTTTATTGTGTTCCGGAATGTATCTTGCCTTGCTATAATGTTTTGTACAAGTATTGATCGTACTTCTTTTTCATCTGCATGTGTTCTGCATTTGATGTAGCTCCTAAGCTGTAACATGGTTTCATTATTTCATCATCGATTTACTCTCATTTGTTTTTAATTGAACCCTATAATCACAGCTTAAAATTTCACAGAAAGCCGTTCCAGTCCACATCAACCGGCAACGCCAGACAACCTGTTCCTCAAAGTCACCGACACTGATGGTATTATGGCCTCTCTATCTTTTGGGTCTTTTTAGGACCTGTAGTTCTTGGTAGTAATGAAATGGTTACAAACTTACAGTTCCCCTTTTACTCATTGATGAGCGAGATTGTTGTGCAGATTTAAGAACATGTAGGGATCTCCAATACTTGCTGTGGTTGAATGATCTTTAAGGGTTAGGAGTTTGTCTATTGTGCAATGTGTTTGCTGTCAGGAGGTTGTAGATTTTTCGAAGGCTGCTATTGCAGTATAAATTGTGATTATGCATGTACTTATAGGATTTATATGCCTTTAATTAGTGTAATTCGATCCAATTTTCTTGCTGTCAGTTACTTTTTATGGGATGATGCCACATTTCATTTATTTCAACTATCAACATATTTCAGCATGCTTTAGCAACCTTTGCCATAATAATTTAATAGGATTCGTGGGTCTTTCCTTTGTGATTTTGATAGAATTTTATTGTAGTGTTGTTTAAGGTGATTAGTGTTTAGTTGACCAAATTGCAAAGTGGTTAAATGTTTGCAGAGGTGTGATTCCCGTTCCAATACACAGTAGCATATTGCCTGAAGGTTCAGTGAAATGCAATAGTTGATCCATGCTAATCAAACATTCTCTTCTTATGGTTGATATAAGCCTTAAAAGACGAGTGTATCTTGCAATGTGCTTTTTACTAATTGGTTCCTTTAGCGCATTTTGCAGCACTATTTTGGTTGTTTTCTTTGTCTTTTGCTTATTTCATGGTCTTCTTCTGCAGTATGGATTCTGAACAGATACGATTCAAGCACCAAACAACAATATCCATTTCGCCACCCAGCGTATCCATGGCAAGCGCCACCGCCATAACAAAATTCGTAACAGATTATATGTATCCCCCTAATAGCATATGTTCCTTTTCTCAGATTGCCGCTGAGAAACTATTTTGTCGACTTTATTATTTGATATTGATATAATTGACATCTTATCCAACAAAGTTTCTTTCAGTTTACTTTCCACTTTGAAAGTAGCATTCATCTTTCTTTTATTTAAATATATTGTCATTACTACTTGCCTGCCCTTGATTTGGCTTTGATTGAATTGCCTTACTATTATATCGACTGAAATTATTTTTTGTTTGCGCGAAGCGTAGCGAGCGGGTCTTTGCTAGTATATATATATACATGCGGTTAGTCAGTGATGAGTCCCAGGGTAGGGTGGTAATTAAGAAGACAGAGCCATAAATAAAACTCAGTGATGTGGGGTTATTGAAAGCGTACGGATCGGATGGTCTCAACATGCAGCAGCAGCAGCAGCAGCAGCCTAATTCTCAGACAGTACGTAGCTCTAGCAACAGATTAAAACCACCCATGGATTGGAAATGGAATGCATGTGCATGCCCAGACCAACCAATATCACACTCTTTGCCAAATTAAACTACTACAAGTCGCACCACCTAATTCCTTTTCTCTAACATCATGGGAATGCTTTTCATGACCCCAAATCTGAAATCATCTCAACTCATCAACCTTTTAAGTATGAATTCAATTGTAAGATACTGATCAAATTTGACAAACGATGGACAACTATCAGCAAGTTAGCAACACTTGCCATACACGGAGAATTGACTTACACAAGAGAGCTTTTGAATGTGGCTCTGCTTCTGGGGAATAAGAGATCTCCGCCACTAGGAAAAAAATGGCTGGGTAAAATATTAACTAGTGGCCTTTTAGTCATAGTTCGTTCCAGTGTTCCATTGGAAGAATTAGCCCTAAAAATTAAAACAATGCCAATACACCTATCATCAACACTAATTTTATTCAACACTTCATTACTCTAAGTTCGGAGGAACAAGACAATCCCAACAATAAAAGAAGTTAAAAGCATGGAAAAAAGAGCATACAATATTTTCATATAATATATGTCAAAATTCCTCTTCAATGGCAACCGATCCTTCACTAAAATCACTCCTGTTGTTTCGCTGTTGGCCTCCATGTCATTACCATCGTTATTCTCTTCCTCCAATGTGACTAGCATGAAGCTCCCTTCACGATCTCGCTCCCAATGAGTGACTAGCCTAAACCCTATCGTCTCTTCTACCTCATGGTATCGATCATTTGCCGTCGTGGCCTTTTTCGCCACCACCACTGCCACAACACGCAAATAGTCCCATTGTTGGATTTCTTCTGGGAGCAGGGGCTTAGTCGCTGCCAACAACATCCTGGCCTCATTCTCGTCGATGCTGAAAATCAACATATCCCCCATTTCAAATAAACAGAAGAATCTACCATCTTTGTAGCCCACGCCAAGGCATGTTTGTCCTTTTTTCCCACCCAAGGAGAAATCATATGTTTTTTGCTCAAATCTACCATTGTTTCCACGACGGAACATGCATAGATAGCGGTCACCATACACCACGAGCATCGTTGAGTCCTGAGCAGTGGGTAGCGCTGAGAAAGCAAATTTGAGCACAGTGCCTGGTCCGTAATGGTAGTCGTAGGTAGAAAAACGCCAACTCGGGCTGGGAAGACTAATGTAGTTTGCAGGACTTCGAAGTAGAGGATTGTACCAGCCCAAACCAGCGTCACGCACTTTTACAAGCAACCACGCACCAGCCATCCCTAGGATTCTTATGTCTACATTTGCAAGGCAATACGGGATTTGAGATTCACGGCGTCGTTGGAGGACTAGTCGATTACCCTCCCGCACTTGGAAGACGTCCGAGCTGGAAAACTCTTCATTTTTAATAAAAAATGGTCGGGGATTGGAAAGAGCGATGTGAGAGTGAACTTGGTGCCACTTATTGCATACGCCGCTAAAGTGAGTACCGTCAACATGGGACGAGAGTCTGTTGTAGATGGAATTCAAGAGATCTGGAGATACATCAGCCCACGGTCGTTGATCCTCTTGTACGTTCATATTCTATCAACTTTATTTTTGGGATCCTTTTTCTTTTCAATTATTATCGAACTTTTGTGATTTTGGATAAACTTTTTATTTCTAAACGAGATTCGAGTTTGCAACTTTAAAAAGCTGTATGGTGGAGTTAAAATCGAGGAAATTTGTTAGGTCTACAATTATGCCTACAAAAGGTGAAACTGTAATGTAATTGTTGAACTATTGGTTATAATGTGACGAGAGAGATATGGCTTATTTAAAGGTCAATGAAGTGGTCAATCCTATGAATTTGCTCTTTTCTCAATTATGGTTTCATATTACTTTTTCACTATTCGTAATACATGTGATTCTTTTGTCCTATATGGTTTAATTCGTTGATTGGTTAGTTTCTTGGAGATTTATTAGGACTATGAACATGCGAAAAGAAAGTGTAAATTCTGCATTTGGTGAAACTGCCAATAACAATGTGTTTAGATATGTGTTTAGTTCATGAACTATTAAGTTTATGTTTTAACAATATGTCATATTTGAATGTGAATGTTTATATGATTTTCGTAAGGCTAACCACAACCCGGGAGTAAAAGATGAGGTTTAAAGCTAAAATGACATCTTAGCCTCCTCGAAAACAGTAACAACTATAAACTCATATTTGATAATTTTCTTGTGCTTAGGATGACGTATTTGAGCTTAAGTCCACTGGTTAGTATATGATAGGTCTTCTGTACAAATTCAAGTCCACTAGTTGAGTCCCATTTGCAGGACATGTAAGTAAATGATATATGATTCGTAATTGGTATCTCTCCCAACATGTGTCTGAATCTCTATAACCTCAAAGTTAACGCTTGATTAGTATATGTATGATAGGTCTTCTGTGCAAATTCAAGTTCAAGGGTTGACTTCCATTTGAGGGACGCGTAAGGAAATGATATATGGTTCGTTATTGGATCTCTCCCAAAAGGCCAAAATGTACTGATTCAGGACAATTTCAAACTGGTTCCAATGGCAAAGGATAAGCAAGCCATATAGGGCATGAACAAGCATGGTTCATCTGTGTCTTTAACTGGCCAGTCTCTTGCTTCTGTTACAAGGTTTCTTTCCCAGCTTGGCATATGAGGCAGGCAATAATTATACTGGAATTTTTGGACAACTTATGAAGTCAACTCTATCAGTACAGACTACTAATTCTCCACTTTACAGAGAAGTACATTTTACTAGGTCTCGGAATTCTAATGTTCATTTCCACAAGTTGGCATTTTTGAAGTTCTTTTAAGTATAGAAAGTTTCCAATTATTAGTTTCCATTTACAAACATATATGCTGGTTTTCTGCACTTAGACTCTAATAAATGTCTAAAACATTGCAATGATGCAGCATTTCTCAACCCTCAAGTTAATTAATGCTTCCAAGATCTGACTTTTTCAGCATAAAAAAATTGAAGAACAATCCAAAAGGCCAAAACCCACCTGCTCCACACAGCACATAGCCATGACATCATTCATCACCTGGGGGATTAGCAAAATTCTTCTTCTATAAGAACCCACCACCTCTATTTGCCCAAAGTACCAGAAAGCTTCTTCCTTTCTTCACAATGGCAAGCACATCATCATCTTCCAGCAGCCATGGCCAGTTGTTCAAGATGACCACTTTTTTCGCGGTGATAGCATTGCTAGCGATATATGCATCAGCACACGATGGTCCAGGAGACCATATGCACTCACCAGCCCCATCTCCGAATATGGTTAGCCAGCCTGGTGGTTCTTCCTCTGCGGTTGGAATCAGCTGCTCCCTGGCTGCCACATTATTATTTGGTTCATCCACCTTGGCTTTCTTCCTTTCTATGTTTGATTGAGCTCGCTTATATTTGTTCTTTTCGTTGTGATATGATCATATGTTGAAGAATAAGTGGAGCTGGGATGTAATCTTATTGTGTACATCATTTCTTTGTTCATTTGGTGTGGAGACAGGCCCGTCCCTGGGCCTGTGCTGGTAGGCCCTCCAGCACAGGGCCTCAGGAAAATAAGGGCCTCAACCTGTTGTTACTTGTTGTGACGTTGGACTTTGGACTGGGCCTCTCCGAAAAAAGTAATTACTTACTTAAATATGGGCCTCAAGGAAAATAAGGGCCTCAACCTGTTGTTACTTGTTGTGACGTTGGACTTTGGACTGGGCCTCTCCGAAAAAAGTAATTACTTACTTAAATATGGGCCTCAAGGCTCAAGCTCGTGTTATGAGTTATTGGCCTGTTGCCCAGCGGAAGAAAAATATGAAAAGTTAATTACTTAATTAATAATTAATGTACTGAATGAATTCCTCCACTCCAGTCTCCACCAAGAGGAGCAGACGCAATATGGCAAAAAAGTGTGTATCTATCGAAGGTTAATAATTTCTAGAAATGGCTTGTTTTGAAGTAACTACTTGTCAATTGAGTTATTGTTTTGTTTCTTTTTAGTTTTGTTTGATTCATTCTATTAATTAATCAATTTTCTATTGTAATTTTCTGTCCACCCATCATCTGTTCATCAGTTATTATTATTTTGTACTTTGGTTTATATTTAACTAAATTTATTTTAAATTTAGGAAAGTATTCTTCCTCATGTTGTTGAAAGTATATTTCAAATGTAAGTATTTTTAAACTAACGAATGTATTTTTCCTTTTAAAATTTTTAACGTTTTGAAACATGTCAATTGTTTTTCTGATGCAAGCATATATATAATTTTATTAACTATTCCCGTGACTATTTATAGAAAGAAGATTTTCGATGTTGAAGTTGTTAAAGTCTTATCTGTGTTTTAAAATGACATCGGAGGCGATTGAGAATAAATTTTTGGATGATGCAAAGATGGAAGAGCTAATAAATTATTTTATTTCAAATAATACTAGATAGTTGTTACTTTTTAAACAATGATAGATGATATTATTACTTTGTAATAATTTTTTCAACTTATCTAATTTTATTATTATTATCTAATAATTTTTATTTTTAATCAATTTGCACAAAAATATTTTAGGGCCACATTCTAAATTTTTGAACAGGGCCTCCTAACATCATGGGCCGGCCCTGTGTGGAGACTCATATGTAACACATTGTGAATGTTGTTGGTTTCATTGGTACTCAATGTTTTGTATTTCAACTTATTAATAAATTCTGATCAGACCAACATTTGTTTGTTGAAAATTTGATACTTTCATTGAGATGAGAGATTTCGAACAATCTCAGCCTTCCACTCTTTGTTTTATACATGTCCTAGTCTCCTAGCCAATACAACCAAATATGTCGATACAAAGATATTGAATTGTCCTGACTCCAGATTCCAGAAAAGAAAACTCTGTCCTCTGCTGTGAGTTTACACTACTAAATACGCCATGACGGAGCTATTGCGAGGAGTAAAAGTGTAAAACACTATGAAACGGATCGCCGCCAGGCTAAAGCCCCGGCCTTTACCGCCCGTCTCGCCGCCGTGTTCCAGTCCTCAGCCGCCGGCCAGCGTCTCAGCCTCTTCTTTGCTATCGGAGTTCACCAAGTTATGCAATCAGCAAGACTTTCCCAGAGCGATGAAAGCTCTGGACGATTTGGAAACCCATGAACTCCGGGCCGACCCGGCCGTCTATTCCGACCTCCTCAAAGCTTGCCTGTCCCGCCGCGCCGTCCCTCTGGCCCTCCGCCTTCAATCCCACATCTTATCTTCTCCCCACTCTCCCCATACCTTCCTACTCAACATGTTGCTCAGCATATATGTCAAACTCCGTCTCTTGCCTCAGGCCCGTTCCCTGTTCGACGAAATGCCTCAGAGAAATGTAGTCTCCTGGACGACCATCATCTCTGCTCACGCTAACGTCCCCGAGCTCTCCCACAACGCTCTCCACTTCCTCGTCTCCATGCTCTGCCACGGCGTCACGCCCAACATGTTCACCTACTCTTCCGTCTTGAGAGCCTGCGGCTGCGTCTCCCATCTCGTCCAGCTCCATTCTAGCATTTACAAACACGGACTGGAATCCGATGTCTTCGTCAGGAGTGCTCTTATCGACGCTTATTCCAAATGGGGGCTCCCACAAGAAGCACTCTGCGTGTTCGACGAAATGCCTACCGGGGATTTAGTAGTTTGGAATTCCGTCATTGCTGCTTTTGCTCAAAACAGCAATGGCCACGAAGCGCTCCATCTTTTCAAAAGGATGAAGAGAGCTGGTTTTGACCCCGAGCAATCTTCACTGACCAGCGTTCTCAGTGCATGCACTAGCTTAGCACTCTTGGAGCTGGGGAGACAAGCTCATGTCCACGTATTCAAGTACCATCAGGACTTGATCCTCAACAATGCCCTCCTCGATATGTACTGCAAGTGCGGCGGCGTGGACGATGCCAACATCATTTTCACCCGGATGGCAGACAAGGACGTCGTCTCTTGGAGCACCATGATTGCCGGGCTGGCCCAAAATGGTTACAGCAGAGAGGCACTCAAGTTATTCGACTCCATGAAAAATTCATCCACACGACCGAACTACATCACAATTCTTGGAGTTCTTTTCGCCTGCAGCCATGCTGGGCTCGTGGAAGATGGCTGGTCCCATTTCCGATCAATGAAGAAGCTTTACGGGATTGAACCTGGCAGAGAACACTACGCTTGCATGCTCGATCTTCTAGCTAGAGCAGGGAAGCTCAACAAAGCGGTTGAGCTCATTAACGAGATGGGATTCGAACCTGATGGAGCGATGTGGAGAACTTTGCTTGATGGTTGCAGGGCTCACAAGAATGTGGATCTAGCGATGCATGCTGCTGAGCAAATTCTGAAGCTGAACCCACAAGATGCGGGAAGCTACATACTCCTGTCGAACATCTATGCAAACGCTGGAAGGTGGGATGATGTGGCAGGAATTCGTAAGGTGATGAATGAGAAAGGGATCAAGAAACAACCTGGATGCAGCTGGATTGAAGTGGGTAAACAGATTCATACTTTCGTTCTTGGAGATGGGTCCCATCCGCAGATCAATGAGATTAAGATCCAGCTGGAGTCGCTGATTCAACGACTCGTGAGAGCTGGTTATGTCCCTGACTTGAACTTTGTCCTGAAGGATTTGGAAGGAGAGGAACAAAGGGAAGATTCTCTGAGGTACCATAGCGAAAAGCTGGCGGTGGTGTTTGGTTTAATGAATTTGCCCAAGGGACAAACTATCCGGATCAGGAAGAACCTCAGGATATGCGGTGACTGTCACCTATTTGTGAAACTTGCGACCAAGTTGGAGAAGAGGACGATTGTGATTAGAGATCCCATACGGTACCATCATTTCCATGATGGAGCTTGCTCTTGTGGGGATTACTGGTAACGAAGTCTTGGGACAGATAAGGCAAAGGAACCAGTAAATTTCAGGTTCTTCGTTGATGTGGACTATTCAGCTGAATTGCCCTTATACGTAACCAGTTATGTCAGTGTTGTTTGTTCTCATTTCTCAGTACTTGCTTGCGTTGGTTCATGTGGGGTATTGAAAAAAAGCTGTGTATATGTCCAGGGAATCGTTGGGGTTGTTAAGAGGCTGATGCAGGGTCATAGTTAGTTGCAATGAGACATACAGAAACATGTATTTATGATCATCTGTATATTCATTCTGTGATAACAGGAAAGAAGAAGGTTTAACATAAGCCAAGTTTCATTCATCGAAGGATCTGTGGTTGTCCATGTTCTCTTTAGATGTCTCTCTCAAACTGCATATATGGACTGCAATGCCCCTTCATTTTTTCCACCGATCGAATAGCCTGTCGTTGGAGAGTCAAAGAAGAGCTAAAGCAACTCGCTGACGATTGTAAGTCTTTTCCATTGTTGTGTTCGATCTCAAAACTATAATTAGCAAGACTGAACTGATTGATCAGCGGAACTGACAGATTACTTTCGACTCCCACTTTTTTTTTAAAGCTGAATCAAGGACACCCTTTCAAACCCAGAGCTAGACAGATATAGAGCTTCATGATTTTCCATCCTCAATTTCGGTATGTTCCACACGGTTCTCAACTTTGCAGTCCTATCTTACAATAGTTGGAATTCCGCAGTTTTGCAAGCCCCTTCCATTGACCCATATATACAGAGTTCCTGTTGTGTCATTTCCCTGATCAACTCATGCTAAGCTGATTTGGTCCTTTGATTCTAGATATTAGTTAGTGCATATTAAAGGGTGAGTATGCCCGTGGGTTGCATAACTACAGAGTTCTTGATTGAAGTTTTGCAATGACCAAAGGCAGAAGCACATTGTTGAATCAGAACCCTTGACATGATCAGTATAGCTTTCAGCTTATGCCCTTATTTTGGGTTATTTGTCGTACTTTGGAAATAGAACATTAAGTGTTGTCATCTTCCTCGATAATAACTGCAGAAAAAAGTCCTCCGACTATCCAAGGCAATCACCTGCATCCCTTCTGATTGTCGGTTTTGATATGAAAGAGAACAGAAGAAAAAACAAAGAAACCAGCTAATGGGTAGCTGGGTGAATGCATCACAGTGGAGCTTTACAGAGTGAGTTTCGCTCTGAATCCTGGAGAATCCCCAGATGCAGCAAAGAAGAAAAGGAAGCTTGAAGGAGTTCAAGAGATGAACTTGAAGCAGCCCAAATTAGATATGTAGGTGCAATGTTCAAGAAGACGCTAGGCGCTATCTAGGTTAGGAGGCACCGCCCAGCGCCCAGGCCGATTAGTCGTTGCCTAGGCGAGATTAAACGTTGAAAAAAAATATGTTAGATAAGTCATCTTCCACAAAAACCCAAGTCCCCATATCATTATTCATCCATGTATATACACATACAACCCTTTTCCACAATCCCAAACATCCTAAGTCGCCAACCATGAGGAGAGATCTCACTGCTGGTCGATGAGAGGTAGCGGCTGGTCGAATGGAAATGGGAAATAGAATAGGGTTTGGGATTTTCCCAAAAAGGCTACACTTTCCCCTTTATTAGTTGTTCTGGGCGTCGCCCACCAGGGTGAAAACGCGCCTCCGAGTGCATAGGTGCCTAGATCAATCGCCCAGGGCTAGACGGGGCAATTTCCTCCTGCCCAGCTATTAATCGCGCCTAGGCGAGAGATTAATCGCGTCTTCTTGAACACTGTGTAGGTGAAATTACGGGATTATCAAGCAGTCTACAGATTGAAGCACCGGTCTGAGGTACTTTCAATTTGATTGTTGTGCTTTAAAAGGGAGTTTTTCCTTCCACTTTACCTCTGTTATCTTTACTTTATTTACCTGTTGGTTTCATAAGCCCCTCTTGATGTTATTGGGGTTGTATGCTATCTTTACTCCATTTGCCTGTTGGTTTCAGAAGCCCCTCTTGATGTTAGTGGGTTGTATGCTATCTTTTGGTTTTAAAGGGTCGCCAGTTCCAAGATTATACAACTTCAGTAGAGACTGATAGCCTTATGGTAGTATCTTTGATACAATTAGCAAATACTCTTCCTTTTCATAGGATCAGTTACCACCCAACTGTTATATAACTTAGGTGGTTATATGTTCAAGATATATATAGTTTAGAGATCTCTTTTTTCCTGAATGACCATAGTGTTAGGAAGAACCTGCTGTATTTGTTTAAAAATCTCTGTACTTTATTATGCTGCTCCTATTGAATTTCGATGATCTATTGTTCCTGTGCTAAGCTCCAGATAGGACACCTGCTTTGTGTATCAGTTCATTACTGCATATCAGATGAGCCACTATTTGCTTGCGACACCAGAATTCACTCAACGCGGTTGTATTTAACAAGATACGAAGGGATACTCATCACAAATTGAGATTGTAAGCTAAGAGGAAGGGATATATTCACAATGCCAAGTTCCACTAGCAGAAGGTAAAAGCTATTCCTGTTTGTTATTCTTCTTCTACTCCAACTTATTTATTAAAATGAAAAAGTGGTCAATGTTACAACAACGGCATAAAAACAACCTACAGCTCATCTTTGTGGTCCTTGGAGGCACTGGTGTGCTCGGAAGATGTGAAAGCTCTAATTATCGATTCGTACACCTCAATGCCTTTCAGATACTCAGCTTTGCTCAAGAACTGCATCAAGTTAACAATGCCACGTTACAAATGCTGGGGAAACATAAAGCAATAGCAGTGCTGGTTGGTAATGTTCAACAAGTCTCGAATAGCTTCAAAGACTCTATAATCTAAGAGTATGCATCACAACCAAAAACCTCAAATCAAGCATGGTTCTCCTATCGGCAAAGACAATGGTCATGACAGCAGAGAAACAATCTCAATGGACTTCCTAGTGGATGGACTGAAGCAAACTTACTCACTCATGGACCAGGAAATCAATGAAAGAGCTGGCAGCTAGAAACAGTACCTCATTGTGATCATGCAAAAGAACAGGTGTATTGGCCATTGGGGAGAAGCCGATGGCTGGCAGACCCCGTTCTCGGAAGTAGCGAGAGTCTGTTGCTGCAGGAAAGATTTCTGGCTTACCAAGCTTTCCGTCGGCTTTCGCTACAGCTTCCTCGAGCAGTATCCACCACGGATTTGAGCTCCCTGTTTTTGTAAGCTTGGGCTTCCCTTCCTTGTCATACACGGAAGCCTTTTGCTTGAACTGTCCAAGCTAAAAGAAATCAGAGAATAACACAAACAGAAAGCATGCAACCAAATACTATGATACACTTATCATTGTTCTCTTCTCCTGACTTTGTTAGCTATCAGCCTATCACCATTCATTGGAGCTAATAAGGAGAGCATCATCACCTGGAATGTCATGTTGCGTGAAACAGGCGCCCACTCTTCGTTGATCCGCCTCTCCAACGATTCAGGATCAGCAGTTGGCGGGATACGAATATCGAAACCTGCTTCTGCTTCAGATGGTTGCAGGTTCATGACAAAACCCTGGGGAAGACAAGACAGTAGAACAGCGGATGGTTGAAGAAAGCCATTTGCAGAAAACATCTGATACAAGCATTGTGAAAGCAAGGAAAGGAGAGTTACAGTTGGAGAAGGAGTGCCAGCTTTAAGGAAGGCCATGTTAACAGAAATGACCTCCCCTTCAGCTCTCAATCCAGCTTTCACCAAATCAAACTGAGACGCCCTAAACCTCCTGATTGACTCGATGCTCTTGAACAGATTCTCCACGGCGCTGTTGTCATAAAGCTTAGCTCCATGGCCGGGAGCTCCGACGGCCTTAATCACCAGCCACCAGGGGCTCCTTTCAGCGTAGAACGGTCTGTAACTGTTACCGGGAGATGCCAGCCCTGGTTTTCTCTTCTCCGATCAGCATAACGAGAAAAATAACAACACTCCGCCCTAGCAATCGGTAAGTAAGTTAGTTAGTTAGTTTACCTTCGTCGAGGACGACGCCGACGTTCAAGGCGTCGAAGACATCGGAATAGGCGAACTTTTCGGCGCCATCGTGGCCGCCGATTTCTTCATCGGGGGAGAAGGCGAGGTAGACGGATCGGCGAGGTCGGAATCCAGAGGCCTTGAGGCGGCGGACGGCCTCGAGGTACTGCATCCCGACGCACTTCATGTCCTGGGAGCCTCTGGCGAAGATGCGGCCGGAGGAGGGATCGAGGTGGGCGGAGAAAGGAGGGTGGTCCCACTTGTGGGGTTCGGCGGGGACGACGTCGGTGTGGGAGTAGAGGAGGATGGAAGGGAGGTCGGGGTCGGATCCGGGCCAGTGGATGAGGACCAAGGGTTTGCCATGGACGAATTCGATGGAGCGGGATGGGAGGGAGATGGAATCGGCTTGAGAGATGAGGAACTCGGCGGCGAGGTGGTAGTCGGGAGTGGGCTGGGCGGTGTTGATCTGGAGGTATTGCTGGAACCGGGAGATGACTTGGGAGGGTGAGGAGGAGTCTCCGGCCGCCACCGACGGCGGTGGAATTGTGAACAAGAGGAGGAAGTAGCAGAAGCAGAGTAGAGTGTGACTAGTAAGCTTGATTGGCGTCGCCATGGTGTGGCGGCGAGAGTGGCAAATGCGTAAAGATTAGATAGAAAAGGTTCTGGGCTTCTGGCCTTCTGGGCTAAAGGGTTTGCTCAAGCCAGTTTGCCTCCTAAACAATAGCCGGTAAAAATAAATAAATAAATAAATAAACCGGTGGTCTTATGGTTTTGCAGCTTTTAGACAGAATGTTGTCGTTTTTGGAAAACGTAAGTCAAAACTCAACAATGGGCTCGGAATTAGATTCTTTGTGTGCTTTAAAGTTGTCTATCATCTGGCTGGTGTGTCATTTTAACGTGTTGTATATCAGTTATGTTTTTCATTGTTTTTTCTTTCTCTCAAAGTAATGTGTCATTTTTGTTTCGGTTTTCAAATTGTTGGTAAGTTATTACCATAAATTTGGAGAGGGTATTAGAGTATGGGTA